CAGTATGCGCAGGAGAGGATAGCGGAAAGTATCATGAGGACAGTATGGGTAGGAGAGGAGAGTGGAATGTATGAAGCCAATATATGCAGGAGAGGATATGGAAGGTATGATGAGGCCAGTATGTGCAAGAGAGGAGTGTAGAAAGTACACTGCTCAAAAAAATTAAAGGAACACTTTGAAAACACATCAGATCTCAATGGGGAACAATATCATGCTAGATATCTATACTGATATGGACTGGGCAATGTGTTAGGAACGTAAGGATGCCCCGTTGTTTGATGTAAATCAAAATTATCAACCTATAGAGGACTGAATTCAAAGACACCCCAAATATCAAAGTGAAAAAATAATACAGCAGTCTAGTCTATTTTGCTGAGATTTCATTTCAGCAACTCAAAATGGTACTCAGTAGTTTGTATGGCCCCCACGTGCTTGTATGCATGTCTGACGTCAGGGCATGCTCCTAATGAGATGACGGATGGTGTGTACTAGGGTATTTCCTCCCAGATTTGGACCAGGGCATAACTGAGCTCCTAGACAGTCTGAGGTGCAACCTGGTGGCGTCAGATGGACCGAAACATGATATCCAAGAGGTGTTCTATTGGATTTAGGTCAGGCGAGCATGGGGGCCATTCAATGGCATCAGTTCCTTCATCCTCCAGGAACTGCCTGCATACTCTCGCCACGAGGCCGGGCATTGTCGTGCACCAGGAGGAACCCAGGACGCACTGCACCAGCGTAGGGTCTGACAATGGGTCCAAGGATTTCATCCCGATACCTAATGGTAGTCATGTTGCCATTGTCTAGTCTATAGAGGTCTGTGAGTCCCTCCATGAATATGCCTCCCCAAACCATCACTGACCCACCACCAAAAACAGTCATGCTGAACGATGCTACAGGCAGCATAACGTTCTCCACAGCTTCTTCAGACCCTTTCAAGTCTGTCACGTGCTCGGGGGTGAACCTGCTCTCATCTGCGAAAAGCACAGGGCACCAGTGGCAGACCCGCCAATTCTGGTGTTCAATGGCAAATGCCAATCAAGCTCTGTGGTGCTGGGCAGTGAGCACAGGGCCCACTAGGGGATATTGGGCCCTCAGGCCACCCTCGAAGTCTGTTTCCGATTGTTTGGTCAGACATTCACTCCAGTGGCCTGCTGGAGGTCATTTTGTAGGGTTCTGGCAGTGCTCATCATGTTCCTGATGGGTTAGGGCCTTCTACGGCCCTGTCCAGCTCTCCCAGAGTAACTGTCTCCTGGAATCTCCTCCATGCCTTCTGGCAATGGCACGTATTGATGTGCCATCCTGGAGGAGTTGGACTACTAGTGCAACCTCTGTGGGTCCAGCTATCGCCGTGTATGGCCAGCTAGAGGCAAAGATCTGCACCTATTCTGAACAGTAGTAAGCACTGGAACAAAAATAAGGCTTTCAAATTTGTGTACACTTTTTTTATTAGAGAAAATGTATGACAGTTTATTCCTAAATAAATATACATGTAGTGAACATAATAAAACAATAGGTATTTTTTCTTAGTTGATAGCAAAGAAATGTTTAAGGTCCCAAAACATAAATACAAATGTTCGACTAGTAAAAGTCAGGCTCAATGTGTTATGTGTCTTTTTTGCATCTTTATGTATTTTAACAAATCGCTTTTTTTCTATAACGGATACATATGGATCTACGAGGCTATGTGTATAACATGTCAGAACCAGCACACAAAACACAAAAAAGTGCATAAAATAAGAAAAAAAAAAGCAAGCAGCATATGCATTAAAGTGTCAAACCATTGTAAGATTCATTAAATACTGATCAAAATAGACTGTATGACAAAGAAAAAGCAACAATGAGCTGCACACATTCCGAGTTACAGTCTAATGAGATATGCACGGCTAACAGTGCTGGAGCCTAATGGTGCTTATGTGAGGTACATGAAGAAGGCAGGAAAAATAAAAAGTGGCAAGTGACTTGTGCTATGTTTCTGAGACGATGCTAAAAATGCACCCTGAAATACTTTTGTGCACGGAAAGGCTTGTGCACACACATCAGTATCACAATTCGATTTTCACCTTTGCTTAAAGCATATTTAAACCAAATGCAAAAATGTGATATATTGCAGCTCAGCAGTCCTTAGATGAGGTGGTTGCATAATTTTCCAACACTTTTTTCCTTTATTTACTCCTAGTGATCCTGCTAGAAACACACTTCCTGTCCTAGGGTGACCACGATCATTCACTGCATTGTAGTTATTCACTCCACTGTAGAGGAGCAACATTGTCACCCTCGGCTTCTCTCCTGATGTGGACTACCAACACCTCTCTTCTCCTTATTACATAGGGGAAAGAGTTGTGTAAGCTCACCGAAGATAGCTTGGAAAGCAGAAAATATTGTTTGACATTTCAGTTCAATATACAGAAAGGTACAAGGAGACCGATTTTCTATCAGGATCAACAGGTGCTTTTATGTATTTGCAGAAAATGTACCAAGCCTAAAAACAGAAAACTAATGAAATCATAAGTTTTTTTTCTCGGGTTTAGATATCCTTTAAAGGAAATCCACCATTGGAGAAACATGGAAGCTGCCACTTTTGACTTTACCTTCTGAAAAGGATAGCTGTCTGGCTGTCATATTGGTTCTTTTAGCTTTAATGCTTTTAATCAATGACCTTGAACCTGACTTTTAATCAATGACCTGACTTACTGTGCATGCTTTCCAGGTCAGGGAGTTAAACGTATTAAAGCCAGTGGATCAGATTAACAGCCAGGCCACTATAATTTGCAGTAGGAAGCTATCAAATGCAGGTCTAGGATTTCTCTTATTACATGTTTAATTTAAAATAGAAAAATCAGGGATTTCTTTGAAAAAATGCCCTCATATACTAAGTTGCTTGCCAAATATTGAGGAAATAACAGGAAGAGCCCTTAAGGCTGTGGTCTCCAAACTGCGGCCCTTGGCTTGCCTTTATCCGACCCTTGATGCAATATTCCTGCCACCAAACATGGGGCACTATTCTTTCCACTGACACCAACAAATAGGCATAATTCCCTTCACAGACACCAACAATGGGGCACTATTCCTCCCACTGGCACCAATTATTTCTCCCCCTAATATCAGATTGAGCATTGTTTACTCCAACTGGGCACAGCCAGCCCCCCTATAGTCTGAAGGACAGTAAACTGGTCCTTTCTTTGGAAAGTTTGGAGACCCCTTCCCTAAAGCATTGTTAGGTCTAAAAAGGCTACTTTTCAAGAGAAGGGAGCAGATTTTTAAAAATCCCTTGCCTCTGTTACCTATGTGTAGAAAAATGTGAATTTATTTTCTGTGCGAAAGAATTACTCTCAGTCTGTGATTCATTGGGGAGGCCTGAACTGAGTTCAGCTTCCATGATACAGTGGGACATTTCTCTCTGGTTTTATTAGACTGATGCAACAAAGAGAGGGACGTATTTTGTAGGTTATCAAAAATTGCAGATACCTATTTTTATATAAACAGCACTCCTATCTAAAGGAAACAGGTACAACAAAATGTTGCTTGTTTTACAGACTATTTTATATTAAAAGATATCTTTTTAAGGAATATATATTTGATTTTGTATCAATCTCTACACAAGCTTCTGTATTCTACTATTAGGAGCATTTTCCGAGTTAAGATGTATGATCATCAAACTGGGTAATGAGTAAAAGCGCTGGCCATGTATGCAAAGCTGGCCATAGATGGCTCGAATTTTGGCTGATTCCTGAAATTAATGCCATGGTAGCCCGGTTGGCACCACTTGGCTTGACAAAAGTCAAGTTAAAAATTGACTTAGCTGGGTAGAAAATTATTGGTCAAACAGTGACTATACCTAATCAGATGCAGTTACTATTTAGGTATTCAAGCAGCCACGGGTGATAAACCAGCCTAAATTTAATAGCTGGCATGGGAGAGTTCCTCATCCATGTTTAGTGTGAGTGAAGGAATCTGTTAATTTTCTCTCATTTAGCCTGTGTGATGAACAAAAGAAAATCTAAGACTGTATGGCAAGCCTAGCACTAGTATGGATTCTAATCCCTGTAGTTATCTTCTGATTATTTTTTTTAAAAGAAACAATTGAAGAAAATGTTTACTAAATCCATTCCAGCTGGCATTTATGGGCAGTTTCTTGATGGTTACAATTTACAAACCATCTATCAGCAGTTGAGGTGCATATTTCTAACTTATGATGCGGCTGGTTCATAAATGGAGTTGAACAGAATATAAAGGCATTCCCTGCTATAGGAGCAAAAGTTACATAACATCATTATCCTTTACAAATGGTGTGTCCAGTACCTATGCGCTTTACGCCTTTATATAGCTATTTGTTTAAAATATGTATTAAGGAATTTTGTGTTTTCCTTTAGTTCTCTATTCGCTATAGGCAACTCATCCACAGTTATTTAAATCTATGGTTATATAATTATAATATAATGCTGTATTATCAAATGGCTTATAAACACGTGTTAGGTGGAGACTAAGTATTAAAAATAACCACCTCCCAGGTAATTACACCTAGTTTTGAACTTCAGTACATAAAAAACCTGCACTGTTAAGTAATAACTAGCCTTTATTTCACCGACTGCACATTCACTGATGACTTTACCAATGAGTTGTATGAAATTATTAAACATTCCCTTGGTATATGTATGAACTAAGGGTATACACCATTGCTTAATAGGCGATTTAAGGCAGATGATGGAAGCCTGTATGATTAAATCTTATTACTTTAAGTCTCCAACGTAACACATCTTAAAGGTATTTGTCTAGTCTTTCCCCACAGTTAAGTGCTTTCGGATGTCAAAGGCACTTGAAAGTTTCTTTCAAGTTGCTTATAGCAACATTATTGCCCACAATGGTGAGCGGGAACAGAGCACTCTTTAAAAGCATGCCTGAAAATGTTTATGTTATGGTTAACAAACCACTTTCCTATTTAAAAAAAAAAAGTGGCTGAAAAAAAAACAAAATCAAGGTGGGAATGTCCAGCTCCTTCATCAAATGTTCTCTAGTATCCAGTCCTCATTGGAGAGGGTAGGTACAGTCAAAACAAGGTTTCCTTCAGAGTCTTCTCTCCCACCCTTATGAAGGGCACTGGCTTCTTGGTAGTACTCCTCTTCCTCATCAAAAAAACCATTCTCCATCGCATATGAACATTCTGCGCTGGAAGCAGCCTGACAAGCGCCTTTATATTCTTGAATGGATTCATAAAGCGAATATAGCTGGCACAGGAGAGACATGTCGAGTTGTCTAAGCCCAACCTAAAATCACAAAACACAGAAAAGCTCTTAAAAAACTTGTAAGCATAGAGGCTTATGAAATAATCTTATGATCACATGAATAATGTAAGGGATGGTCAGGCAAAAAAATTAATTATTTACGCTTTTCCACCAAATAAACACTTAATTATTTATGTTCTGTGTGCCTGGACTAGAAGTTTAAAACATTTTAAAAAAAAAAAAAAAAAAAAAAAAAAAAAACTTTGTCCTGCAGGGCTAACACTGGTAGACAAAAGCAGGGAAATTCTGATTTCTAGTTTCACAGCCAGTTTGTATCCTACATAGAAAAAGAAAAAAAAAACCCCATTAACCTTTTAACCACTTATGCTCTAAAGGGTTTTACCCCCTTTATGACCAGACCATTTTTTACTGTTCAGCCCTGCGCTACTTAAACTGGTAATTCCATGGTCATGCAACACTGTACCCAAATGAAATGTATATCTTTTATTTTACAAATAAAACTTTCTTTTGGTGCCAGTTGATCACCATTGGGTTTTTTATTATATAAATGAAAAAAAAAAAAAACATTTTATTAAAAAATTTTTTTTTTTACTTTCTGCTATAAAACATATCCAATAGAAAAATAAAATTTCTTCATAAATTTAGGCCAAAATGTATTTTGCTACATGTCTTTGCTAACCCCCCCAAAATTTTTTTAAAATGTATTTATAGTATTAATGGAGGTGATCAGCGACTTATATCGGGACTGTGATAATGCGGTAAGCAATGTGACACTGACACTTTGTGAGAACGATCACCGACATCACCAGTTACACTAATACAGTGACCAGTGCTAATAATATACACTGTCAAGGTACCAATGGCACTGGCTGGGAAGGGGTTAACATCTAGGGGCAATCAAAGGGTTAAAATGTGCTGCTCGTATGTGTTCTTTGCAGGGAGAAAAACAAAAAAACAGCCACATCGTTGCTTACCAACAGAGGGCTCTCTTTTGTCACTTGCGCAGCTGATCAGTGAGTAAATCATTGGTTGGGAACCACTGATCGGCTTGTGATGTAGCAAATGAAAGCACAGCTGGGGCGGCAGGCGTGTGCGTGTCCAATCTGGAAATTCCAAATCATGTACATGTACGTTATATGGCACGGCGGGGCTGCTCTACTGCAGTAAATCTGCGGTAGGTGATCCCCAAGTAGGTTAACCAGTATTTTAAATAGTCAGTGATGCCCAAGGCTGATAGGAGAAGCTCCTGACTGTTTTGGCTGCACAATGCTGATGTCTTTGGAAACCCATCCTACAGGCTCCCATCACTGGTAGTTGACCATGAGCCCTGGTTCACACTGATGCGAACAGAAATGCCACTTGCGACACAAAGTCACACAAGAAGTCAAAATACCTTTTTAATTGCAGCCATTCCAGTCAATGCGACTCGAAGTTGCAGCAAATTCAAAAAAGGTTCCTGCACTACTCTCATGTGACTTCAATGCAACTTAGAATCCCATGGACTCTAAGGTCTCATGAAAGTCGCATGACAATGGGGTCACAGTAGTGTGAACTGAGCCTTAGTTGCCTGTGACAGCTTGGTCACAGTTCTGGTGGCACCAAAAGAGCACAGAACAAGACAGTGACGCATATATGTGATAGCTAAGTGGTAAGACCCGCGTGCAACCTTATCAGCCATTTATTGACTTTCTAAGGTCTAGAGATCTCTTTTATAATAGTGCACTAGTAACCTTTCTGAAAATTAGTAGAGCCTAGATTTAAAATTTTCTCTTAGACATTTATCACCTCTAAAATAATTTTTCCCCAGATTCCAAGTTACTCCATTTTTTTCATTGGTGTGATCCTATGCCATGACCACTAGAACATCTGCAGCTCTACTCGATAATAGATCTATTATTCAATCCACAAAATGTCAAACCCATTTCATGGGGACAGATTGCTCTCTGTCCATCCAATAACAGAATCCCTTCTCATCACATTAGGCCTTTTCTGTTTTTCTATTCCCATTTACAATGCAGCTGTTATTCCCCTGGTTGGTAGATATGTTGCTGCAGCACTACTACCCTGCATTTATATCCCAAATCATCCGAATAAAAATGAATTTATATAATCATTTAAATTTATTGGGGTGTGCTACTTTAGGATTACCCTTCATGACGAATCTGCCCCTATCCTTTCTGATAAACTTTTCTGTGCCTCAGCTACACACTTTGAGGTTTTGATCGTTCTCATTTCCATCCCCATATTCACTGGTTCAGCTGTTGCGAGTACACTCTCATATATAGCACATCCCTACTTTGTGAAACAAAAATAGACTACTAGTTACCCAATGGGACTTTTTAGGCATGCATATCACAACATTATAGTAAAAATCAATTGCCCATTTTATTCAAGTACAAACTCTGAATTAAAAACATATATACACCTTGTAGTACAGAATGTGAAAAAAGGAATACACAAAGAGGCTGTCAAACAGTATCGCATACAAGATGTGTTTCCATTCAGCCGATGCGTTTCAGAGATGTGAAATCCTTGATTTCCCTGAGGAAAGAGCTGTATATGTGTGAACCGCGTTGGTTTAATGGAAACATATCTTGTATACGATACTACTCAAGACAGCATCTTCGTGCACTCCTTTGACACTCTGTACTGCAAGCATATATATATATATATATATATATATATATATATTTTTTTTTTTTTTTATAATCCAGAAATTTGTACTTGAATAAAACGACCAATTGATTTTTTTACTATAATGTTGCGATATGAATGCCTAAAAAGTCCCTTTGGGGAACTAGTAGTCTATTTTGGATTTGCTGGCTCAACCACTAGTTACCTGGCTTGTATGTAGACCATTTTCTGATTTAGGCCCCTTTCACACAGCTGTTCTGATTAGGTCGATTTGTCCATTTTTCAGGTGGACCTGATCGGAAGGTCCATTTATCCTTATGGACAAGCGGATGTAAACGGACACGAGGACACCTTAACTCTGGGTCTAACCCGGTTCGCTAAAAAGAAAATGTAAGGGGATCCCCATCGTCTTCTGTTTAGGTAGAGCAGATCAGAGGGTAATCCAGTATAAATGGACAGCGCAGTCCGTTTACGCCCAACTGCCCTTTTGAACAAAGCGTGCTCGGTCCATGTCATCTCTGCATAAACAGAGTGCACACGGATGTGTCATCTGGCCACTCTGCTACGATCAGCAGGGGATCTGTGAGCTGACTGGAACTGAATCCGCCACGTGTGGAAGGGGCCTTACTGTTTAGAAAAAAATAAAACACCTTTCTTATTACCAAATGTTTAGATTAGATACTTTATTATCTTTGCATTCAATAGAATTTTTTATTAGGCATCTTTACTATTCCTCTGTAAACAATATAGTGAGGCTTTTAAAAAAAATTGACAATAGGAAGGCATATCCTAGTATTTATCCCTCTGAATAGGAAAACAATTAGGTCATGGATTCTACGGATATCCTCGAGTTTTGCAGAAAGCGCCTCACTTAACATTTACAATGCCTATGTCCTAAATATATACAGGAACTATGCTGAGAAAATGTGCCACTTATCTCACTACAGACACATACAAAGGATGTCATTGTCTGTTTGCTTTTTCAGCACATTACCTATATGGAAAGCCTTATTGATTGTGAGTATGACTGCTGTGCAATGAATCTTTGTTACACATTAGAAAAGTAAATAGCAGAGCAGCGATTACCATGTGAAAAACACAGCCATTTGGACTTTAAAAGTGAAAGGATTTCTTTTAGTTTTATTTTTAAAGGATATGTATAAGGGCTCATTTACACTCTTGCGGTATGTTAACAAATGTGCATTAAATTTTGAATTGGCTGCTAAGGCACCCAAGTATGTCTAAAATCAGACATGAACCTTTTAATAATCTCGATATGGCAGGCAAGGCAACCCAGTTTGTCCAAAATGGACATGAACCTTTTTTTGTAATACAACGCACCGCAATACACTAATGCAGCCTTTCTCAACCTTTTCAATGCAGAGGAACCCTTGACATAACTTTTCGGTCTCAGCGAACTTCTGCCAAAAATGACTATATCTACAATTCACGATACATTATTGTGACTTAGTGTGATAGAGGTAAGAATGCGCCTTACACTTGTGTTCATTGGGAAGAATTACCCCCTTACAGATTGCTAAAAAGATCAATGGTGTCAGAGGCAGCAAATTGCTGATTGCTCAAGGAACCCCTAGCAACCTCTGGAGGAACCCTAGTTGAGAAACCCTACACTAGCGTGTTGCCATGCATTGTGAAGTGCTAGACTCTAATCTTGCCCATTTTAGACAGAGTGACACAGCGTCTTTAAAGTCTACCTTGAATATAGTCACCTTCCCTGCCCTCTTCTGCCACTCTTTTACCCCATTGGGCACACTGCAAAATATCCTCTGCTTCTAGGTATGGGGTAACATGTGACCTCCTCCCATGATTCAGAGCTCAGTCCTAGTATCTTAACCATTAGCCGCCCGGCCAAATGGCCGTTTGGCGGCTTCAGATGTGCTCCTCCATTCCGGGTGCACGCCATTTGGCGTGCTCCCCGCACATGCGCCGTTTGCGCTAGTGCAGAGCGGCGCAGCAGTGCGATCTGTCGCCGTCTGTGCACCTCGGACACGGTCCATGACAGATCCGAGTACCGGCTCCCGTTTGCTGGTACCATGTGACCTGCTGTGACCAATCACAGCAGGTCACATGACAGTTGTATACATGGATGGCTTCATTCATGATGCCATCCATTGTATACTAGTGCCTAGCTGTGAATGGTCACAGCTAATCACATGCACATGTCATGTGATTAGCTGTGACCAAATCACAGCTAAGCACAAAAAAAAAAAAAGCTGAATGAATCGATTTCATTCAGGTAAATGCTTGCTTATAGCAAAGTAATTCTTTGCTATAAGCAAATTGTGTAAAAAAAAAAAAAAAAATACTGATCACTTCCCCAAAGTGTACAATGTTACTATGGTAACATTGTGCTATTTGGTCATAGT